GGCCAGGGGAAGCGGCCGCGCCTCGCGGGGACGGGAGCCCCGCGGCGGGACAGGCCGCTGCTCCCGGCTCCGCGGCGGGTTTTCCCACCCCCGCTTTGGACATGGATACGGGAATCCCGTGCCCCCCTCACCGGGCGCTGCTGCGGGTCTCTGTTTCACAAGGGTCTTCCCCTCCCTTCCGGGTGCTTCCACTTACCGGGCAGTAACCAAGGAGTTATTGTGTGACCAGCGGTGGAAGTTACTTTTATTGTTGAACACAAAGCATGAATGGGTAACGAGCTGCTGTTTATCTCTTAAATGTTTGAGGAGGGACATATATATATACCTGACCATTAGTAAAATGTGAAACCTTCATAAACTGCAGGTGTTTGGTACCCAGAATCACGTTTTTTGACTGTACCTTGCAGTCTCCCCCTTGCTTCTCATCACCCTGCGGGGAAGCAGCTTGCCCCGATGGGACTTTGCACCTTGCAAGTCCTCGTAGTGCTCTGGTAGCTCGTGGTAGTTCCTGGTGTCCTCACGGGCGTGTTCTCCATGCAGGTTTCAGAGGAGCATGTTGGATCTCTCCTTGCAGTGGAGGTTTGCCAAGCTGCCCAACAATGCCAAGCTGGAGATGGTGCCAGTCTCGCGTAACCGTGGGGGAACAGGGAGCACGGGGAGCACGGTATGTCCATTTCACAACAAAACCCGGTTGATTTGCTCTTCTATTATGCTGGATGTGATCGGGAGATAAAGTGATTAGAGCGTAGTGAGGCCAGTGCTCGAGTGGAAGACCACCCAGAGAGCAGCTGGGGGGCAAAACAGTTTGGAGTGATTCAGTAGCCAAAGTCCTTGCTTACAGGCCAGACAACAGTAGATTTCTGCTAGATTGTCCTAATTTTTGCTTCAGTGTATTTCAGTGTGTGGCAGTATTTGAGTATGCCTTTTTAGTATAACGTGGCAAGTGCCTATAGGATGCTTTATCTGTAATAATTTTTGTCACATTTACTCTTACAAGTTTTAAAAATCTTTTTATATACGTGTCATTATAGCACCTGCAGACGTAACTTTTAAAACAATGCATAATTGTTAATGAGTATAAACACTTCATTTTATGTGACAAAAAGGATATATGATCTTGTTTATGCAGTCTGCAAATGAAGATTTACCTATCACTGGCAGCAGTGCCTCTTTTTACTGACTTACCTACTACAGAGTTTCTCAAATTTTGGGAAAGCTTTTGGTTCTGTTAATGCTAATTCGTCTGTCTTCTGAGTTGCATTACTCTTATTTTGTTACAGGCAGTTGCCTTACCCATATATTAGCTTACACATATGCTGAAACGTGACTTCTCTGTGCCATGAGGTTTTGAAACCTCTGCTGTCCTTTATTGTGGTGTCCTGGGTTATTTTTAGGATCCTATTTCCTATGAAGAGAAATATGGATCCTATGTCCATATTTCTCTCTGTAAAACCTCCTTCTGTTTTGTTCTGTGCGCTAATGTTTTGTTTTTGACTTTGTGTCAGAAAGAAGTTTGAATTCCAAATGATATACATAATAAAAAACAAAACAAATAATAAAAAAAAAACACCCACAGGCTGGCAGCATCTGCTGTTATTTTTAGTTCCAAAGGATGATGATTGCACTGAGTTTCTGTTCCAGAGGGAAGTGGTTCTGTCAGAATGGTACAATGATGACTTTATCTGACACGTGCATCCATTTTGAGGGATTTTGTACTGAAGGAAAACAATTTATTTCTTCTTTTTCAAGAAGATATACACAGTATATGAGAAAGTGTGGGAAGGACTGTGTATATGAGGAAGTGCTTAACTCCGAATCACTACTTGGGTTGCAGAAGAAAAGAGCTAAAGAAAGTTTAAGTTGTTGCTGTTACGTTGTGTTACAGCAGACATGTCTACAGGAGAGAGGCTTCCCTTGGATTGTTTGTTGCTATTTTTACGAGTTTAAAAAAAAAGAGACAGCATATGTTTGTCAGGGATGCAGTCTAAACAATTGCTGCCCCATAAACTTAGAACAGAGGTCTTGGAAGAATTTCATGGTCAATGCTAGAAAATAATTGTACAAAATACAACTGACTGAAAGAATTTTCCCCTGCCATGGGGAATCAATACTGAATACTGCAGGAAGTTTAAAACAGCTGGATAACTCCATGGCTAGAACTGGCACTGGTGTTATATCCAAATGTAAGGGCAGTTGAACTGTGGGCTTAATCACTCAGGCTCGTGGTGGTGCTTTTGTGACTAGCTCCTTTATTGACCTGATGTTCATGGAAATAGAGGTGTTTTCCTGTGGAGCGTTTGGCAGTAGGAGATAGACTACAGATTTTGATAAATGACTTGTTCAGCACATCTGATGATAATAATAATAATAATAAAAGTTTTGGATCTGCCTCTGTTGTAAAAAATCCTTGATTCCTGTAAGACATGTCTCTAGTGAAAAGCTGAACAAATTTCCCTTGCAAAAGCAGGTGATCTAGGAGCACCAACAAATACAATTCTAGTGATGAAGCCATTAATCTTTTACTTATATGTTTGTAAATTTAGAAAATAATTGGCTCTGGTCTCTGTAACATTTGATATGGATTTGGGGCTTTTTAAGAAGACTTTTATTTTCTAATTGACTGAATATGATTTTCGTGACAAGCTTGGCTTTGAACTGCTGCCCAAAAACTGATGCAACTGGCGGTCTGAATTTCTGGGCTGGATTCTTTAGAATGGTGATGTCAGCTGTCATCACTCTGCTGTAGCTGAGACTAATCTGAAGCTTGTCTTCGACACTGAAAAAGCAGGAGGTCATGTTAGTGATGGGATAAAACTACTTAGTTCTGTTGGCCAGTTGCTGATGATGCCACTGTTTCCTTTATGCAGAAAAATTGCTGGCTGCAACAGATCACAATTTGCAGCCCTGTGAATGCAGGAGCTGGGCTAGGTGACAAACACAGTCTACCAGGGCCATCGCTATAGACTGGAGTGTGTGATGTCTATTTGTTCATGTATCTCTTCAAAAAAAAATATATATTGCACTGTCAATAGCAATAAGTAGATTTAGCATTGTCAATAATGTCAGATGAAAATGCAGATTGAAAGAAAACGTCTGTTGGTGTCCTACTTATATGTCTTTCCCAGACTCCTGAATAAGGCTGATTTGGGGACACTTTGGAAAACGTAGCTGATAGAAACACTAGATACTATCTGATAAGTATTTTTGTATACTACTTTTTTTAGCCAGATCTGCTAATTTGACAAACTTAAGTGGTAGTCATTTTGAGAAAGAAGGCCTAATATTCTCTAAAAAAGGAAGGATTACAGCTTGAAATAGTTTATTCATTTTCCCTTTCTTGTCCAGGTGCTAGATTTTTTTTTCTTTGGAGTCATTGGGAGTTTAAAGTTCTTCAGGACTGTCCTCAATGCGTTCATTTTGGGATTTCTTTTCCCCTCAGCTCTCAGAAGAGTACATAGAAGCTGCATGAGCACCTGTTTATGAGTGTGAATGTTCACACTGTGGACTGGGAGAAGCTTGTTGGGGTCTAACAGCTGTCCCTTGCCTTCTGTTGCAATGCTGTTTACAGGTGTTTGAGAATGCAGTAATTGAAAGCCAGGAATTATTTTTGAGATTTTGTTTTACTCGTACACTGTGTGTTAAAATTTGGTAGTTAGGAAGCATTAGAGAGTTGCAAGTTACACAAGTGTTTGTTTTGGGCTCAATAATAGTTAGGTCTTCAAAATCTTAAATAAATCGGGATAGATTTGAAACATGTTCATTGTTCCTCTATGTGGATGTGCTAGTATGCCCTTTCTTCTGCCTCAGGGAAGTTCTTTCCCAAATCGATGCTCTGCAGAGCTCTATGTTGGGATTTTAGTTTATGCAGCTGCATCAATGAGTTCATGACCTTCTGTCTGGGTTATTTGAATTCATTCTATACAGCTGTGAAATCCCTTCCTGTAAAGTTTCAGCTTGTGTAAAACCAGAACATCTCAACTTCTTGTGAAGGCTCAAGGTATGAATAGATTATTTGGGATTCTTGCATTGATCTTTCTCTAAACAGAGGTCAGATGAATATCTGACATTTTAATCAGCATTCTCTGAAACGGAGGTGTGTTATGTGAGACTTTATTCCCCTCTTCAGATAGTGCAGCCACCTTTGCACATCTTTCTAGAACAGGATGAGAAGTGCTGAAAGAGTGAGGGAACATTCAGGAAAGCAGATCTCACATTGTGGAACTGAGCCCTGCAGAGGAGATAATGATTCCAGTATTAATTTTATCCTGAACTGAATGCAAAACTACTGTGGCAATTAACTCTTCTCCTTGCTTCAATTTTCACTTAATTCCGTGTGTGTTTTTCCTACAGGTTCGGATTGCACTGCATTTAGATGATGGCTCCCGTTTACAGGACTCCTTTCTTTGTCAACAAACTTTATGGGAGGTTTTCAATCATTTTGCAAAGACCAGGTGAGCACTGCAAGGGAAACAAAACTATTTTAAATGTCTTCCTGTATAACAGCAGTTAGTTGTCGTTAGAGTGAGCCAGTTAAAACCTGCAGATTTGTAGAATTACCCTTTATTTGACTGTATTTTTCTCTTTACACACACAGTTATCTTCTCTTGTGCTTTCATATTTGACAATCCATAGTTTCATTATTGTTTTTGGATTCTGGAGTAGCACTTGTGCTTCAGGGCATAAACTATTAAGAAATTGCTAAGTCTAGAAGAAACTATACCCATATACATTACTGCACCTGTTTTTTATACCAACTTCTTTGAAGTGCTTGGTACTGCCAGAGATGAGAAATCAGTTTAGACCAACTTAATCACCTGCTCTGTATTTCAGCTCTGCAGGTCCAGGTGATGGGAGAGCAGTGTTCGTTCAAGATACTATGGCTTTGGAGCCTGGGGTTTATGTAGGTGGTTCTAGAATCTGAAGTTCTCGGGTGGTTATTGTGGCACCCTCAAACGGGCTGATTAGATCCTATTTGAGTAAAAGTACTTCTGGTCTATTCTTGATCTCATGTTCTGCCTAGGTTTACATTTGTTACACACATACATGGTTAAAAGTCTTATTTGAGTCCAGTCTAATTCAGTGATTCATTTTCTCCTTAGTTTTGACTTAACGTAAGACAAATAAACTCTTTTTCAAAGACTTTCTTTTCCGGCATTGTGGCTTGAAAGACGGTTCTTAAGCTGTGACAGCCATTCCTTTTTGAACAGATTTTGAACCTTTTCTGTTACGTGTGCATTTATCTATCTTAGGATGAAATGTCTTTTCAGTACTGTCTTTCTAGCTTGTTCTTTCACTTAACATTTCTCCCTTTCTGATAGTTGCTGTAGGCTATTCTTAACTTGACTAAAGAACTTTTTGCTTCTTTTGTTTTTGAAGCTCTTACTTCACTGTACAGATACTGTGCAACAGTATTGTGTAACTGGGAGATATTTTTGTTAATGTTATTAATTTTGTTAGTTTTTGTTCTGAAACCACTGAAATACTTTCCTGAAGTGCCTGTAGGCTTTTGTGTCAGAGCTTCTGAAGTCTCCATGGCTGCGGTACTAAAAAAAATCTATGAAATGAGTGATCACCAGGAAGGCTGATGATGCAATAACATTCAGATAAGCCCAAACTTTTAGGATACAGGTACAAGATGCAAAATG